CTCTTCAGGTGGGTGGAGAGGTCCTTCCTCAAGTGGAGGAGTTCAAGTATCTCGGGGTCTTGTTCACGAGTGAGGGAAGGATGGAGCGTGAGATTGACAGGCGGATCGGTGCAGCGTGCGCAGTGATGCGGTCGCTGTATCGGACCGTTGTGGTGAAGAGGGAGCTGGGCCGAAAGGCAAAGCTCTCGATTTACCGGTCAGTCTTCGTTCCCTCCCTCACCTATGGTCATGAGCTTTGGGTAATGACCGAAAGAACGAGATCGCGGATACAAGCGGTCGAAATGAGCTTCCTCCGCAGAGTGGCTGGGCGCTCCCTTAGAGATAGGGTGAGGAGCTCAGTCACACGGGAGGAGCTCGGAGAAGAGCCGCTGCTTCTTCATGTCGAGAGGAACCAGTTGAGGTGGCTCGGGCATCTGTTCCGGATGCCTCCTGGACGCCTCCCTGGGGAGGTGTTCCGGGCACGTCCCACCGGGAGGAGGCCCGGGGAAGACCCAGGACACGCCGGAGGGACTATGTCTCTCAATTGGCCTGGGAGCGCCTTGGGGTCCCCCCAGACGAGCTAGAGGAAGTGTGTGTGGATAGGGAAGTCTGGGCGTCTCTGCTTAGACTGCTGCCCCCGCGACCCGGCAACGGATGAAGCGGAAGAAGATGGATGGATGGATGTTGTTACCATATGAACCAGCCCGGACTCTGAGGATTACAGGGACTGGACTCCTGTTAGTGCCCAGAGTCAAGACTAAACAAGGGGAGGCTGCTTTTCAGATTCATGCTGCTAAAATCTGGAACAATCTTCCTGAAGATGTGAGACAGGCATCCTCTCTGACAATGTTTAAAACCAGGTTAAAAACAGTCCTTTTTAGCTGTGCATACAACTGAGGGATTTTATATTTTTATCTTTCTTTTTAATGTACTGTGATTATTTATGATTTTAATGCTTTCTTATTTTGTTCAGCACTTTGAGTTGCCTTGTGTATGAATTGTGCTATACAAATAAACTTGCCTTGCCTTGCCTAAACTGTATCACTGTGTTACATTTTGGTCAATGACAAGGTCCCGAAATGTTCGCGGCCGTTACCGCTGAATGTTCAGACACACTCTTGTTTTGTCCCCAGTAGGGCTGGGACAACGCGTCGACGTAATCGGTGACGTCGACGCAAAAAATACACCGACGTATAATATGCGCGTCGGTGCGTCACACACAAAACAAAGATGGCGGCGAGCGGTAGCAATGCAAGTGCCGTGTTAGAGAAGTGCAAGCCGGTGTAACGCTGAGATACACTGCCTTGAAGAGATGCACAGCCTCAGCTGTTTATCATGTAATGCAAACCTGCGTATGCGCGTCTCACGGCAGCCGAAGCAAACCAAGATGGCGGACCGTGAATTTCTTTAAAAGTTAAAATACGAACGAATTCAGACACGAATGTCACTTTTAATGCAATTTGAGGCGATATGTTGATGGTTCCGTTTTGTCACATGTGGGTTTTAAGAGTCAAAGTTTTGTGCAAAGTTTAGTTTAAGCAGTCAACTGCGCCTGTGAAACCACAAAGCTAATGTTTTCATAGCAGTCCGCAGCTGCTGACGTAGGCTGATGACGCGTCCTGTGGCCACTCTACACTCTTATGTAGCCATGACAGGCTGATGGCTCCCACTGTTTTTGCTGGAAAAGCACTCTTTGTTTAGCTTAAAGCCTTCAAGTTTACATTGGTTACTGTTTTCTTTTAGTTGCTCTACACAAGTATTTGGCTGAACTTTTTCATATTTTTATTGAATGCTAAGCATCAAATGTTTGTTTCAAGAATGATAAGATGCACTTTTTTCAGTAAGCTGTGTTTTCAAGGCTTTAAGGTTTTATGCTACCTCTAAGAATGTCTTATTTTTTAATTTTAAGAGCAAGCAATACATATTTTTTGTGAAGGAATTCATGTTTTTTTCATTAAAATATTTAAATCAACATGTATACATCAATATTAGTCAATTAATGGGGAGATAATCGAGAATCGAATCGAATCGAAGCGAAAAAAATAATCGTTAGATTAATCGATGCATCGAAAAAATAATCGCTAGATTAATCATTTAAAAAATAATCGTTTATCCCAGCCCTAGTCCCCAGCTTGTTTGTCCAGTGAAGGGGGCACTACTTAAACCCAGATTGGTTCACACCCGTATTATTAACAGCGTTCCAAGACAGCCATTATACCGATATATTTATATATGAAGATTTTTTTTTTTTTACATGTCTACTTTTTACATGTACACACAACAGACATATATAACAGGGCAGTAAAGGTCGTAAAGCGTAGGGGTCCGTGCGCAGGAGTCCAGGAAGTCTGTGAGACGGACACACTGAGTGGGAGCAGAGATGGCAAGATGGTGTTGAAGGCAGAGCTGAAGTCTACTCACAGGACCCTGGCGTAGGTTCCCGGGGAGTCTAGATGCTGTAGGATGAAGTGGAGGGCTTATGGCGTCTGAAGCTCTGTTCTGGCTCTGTAGGTGAACTGCAAGGGGTCCATGAGGGCAGGGGTGAAGGTAAAGGTGGACTTTATTGGAGGACTTGAGGTGGGAGAGGACGCTGTTACTTTCAAATGCTCAGCTCATAGAGAGGTTTTGTGGGTTTGGTAAAGTTCATATTATAATGTTTAAATATACATAGTACATAATCTGATTCCAATGATCACACACATATAAATACACATAATAAAATCCTGATCTGTAAAACCTGAAGTAAGTATGAAACAACAACGTCTGAAAAATGGTATCAAATAAAACACCCACATACAATAATGATGATAATAACAATTACACGTTTAAAATTGGTTTTCATATGCAGATTGTTTTTGTGTTTTTATAATTATGATTTTTGCTTCTTGTTTACTGACCTTTTCTCAAATCACAAATGAAATATTGTTTTACAAGATAATCCAACACGTCATTCAAATCCATGTCCTGAATTTTGAATGTTGAATGAATCACAGTGTTGGGTGTTCTTGTAAATTACTAAGGACCTGAAAAAGAATAAAATTGTCTAAAGTAGGACAAGTACTAACAGCTATGGACCTGTGTTTATCCTGTGTGAGTCGACCACCATAAGCCCTGGTGATGTACTGTACATAAACAGATGGAAAGAGATGCATTTGGCACATCCTCAATAAACATATTATGATCATAAATGGATGCCTGGATTTCCCTCAACAGGGATTTATCATTTCATACGTGATTTAATTGAGTCAAAAGGCTTCTAAAAAGACACATACCTCTGGGTTGTGTATTTTAATCTACAATATTAGTATACATTGCATTTTAAACTATAACTACGTATCTTACGTATGATCCTAAAGTGTTACGCAACTGTCTTCAGATGGCATTAAACATGGCTCACTACAAAGCCCTATAGGTGGCCACTCCTGGCTTCAGCATCATTAGCTTTATGTTGAAGCCGGTCCCTGCTTCATACAAGTCCTCTGAGGATTATCTTTATGTTAGCAAGACTACTGCTCTGGTGCATGGATTCTACTGTAAGCTTAATTAAACGTCAGCAGAGACCAAGCAGGACAATACCCTGCTAACTTAATGTGTGGCGGTGTGTAAATGTAATTACTTGCCAGCTCTTGCCTACATCATAACAGAATCATACAGTGTTCTGTCCTTTCCATTTTGTCTTTGTGTATTTTTTAACTGTACAAAGAAAGCACACTCAAAGAAAGCCTATTTACATTGGATATGACTCACTTGTACTGATAAATGATTGGAGCTTATCTCCCTTGAGTCCCATTTAACCATCATAAAAACAACAGCTCAAATGTTTTGTCAGAGCATGATTGATTACGTAACCTTGACATGATTTAAACAAAGGCAAGAAAACTTAATTGCTTGAAAGTCTATGTGTGATCATTTAGCCAATACCAGTAGTATTCGACAATACAGAAACCTGAAAAAGTGTTATCGGAGCATCCCTAATTTTAAGGGGTCAAAATCCTCAGTGGCAGATTTCAACATGAACCCTGGAATTGGCTTCTACTCATTTTAAGTATGAAAAGGCCAACCCTTCGTACATATTTCCTAACAACATCTTGTCCAAATTCTTGGTAAATGATCAACTCTTTGGGCTTGTTTAGCGTTAATTGGACTTCCTGTTTTGCAGGCAGCAATGTCTGTCATCTTTCCCCTGCAGTTCCTCCCAGCATCTGGACTCGTTGCTCTTTTCAGCTTCACTACCCGCTACATTAACCTCTTATTCATTAGCAGCTTATTTAAAGAGCCTACTCTCATTGGGAAGCTGCGCTGTGAAGGCCCTAGTGAGAGATATAAAAAGATTGGCAGTTATTGGTGCCAGTTTGCATGGCTTTGTATATGGGATTCTGACATGGCGCCCTCTGCATTGCGACCTGCAAACCTCCTGATCCGACTCAGAGGAGGGAGAACTAAGCCGAAGAAAAAGTTTATATGTCTAAGATGAGAGGACAGGCGCTATAGAAGAGAATTACTGACAGCTTTGCCCTTTTTAAGGAACTGTATTTCTCAATTTGTTTGAGCGACATGATCCAACTGACCACTGGAAAAAAGACATATCTATTTCTCATTTTCTTCATTCTTTTTTTAGGAAGGAGGTTCAAAGATCAATGCGGGCACATTTTCATGTATGGCCACATGTCAATAGAATCGTGTTTGATCTTGAAATCTAATTTGTATGGACAATGTAATACCAGGTGCCACAGAGGCAGCTGTGGCTCGAGGGCATTCTATCACTGTGTCCTTGGGCAATGTACAAAAAACCTTGCTTCTGATAAACGAACGGTTGCTGATTTCTACAAGTGAAATGGTGGATGAGCAGCGTTTTTCCTGTCAGTCAACAGTACAAACTGATTATGTGCAAGTCATCAATTTACTATGCAGATAAAAAACTACACCGCTTTATGTGTTACGTTTTCTCCCCATGATGTTGTATTCTCAGCTGTACATTGCTGCTTGCTGCGTCTCACCCTGTCGGCATCTGTGTGTTTCAGATTTGAAGCGGGAGGCCAGCATCTGTCACATGCTCAAACACCCCCACATTGTGGAGCTGCTGGAGACCTACAGCTCCGATGGGATGCTTTACATGGTCTTTGAGTTGTAAGTGTTTCCCCATGCACCAAAAGGCCGATGTGTTTATGCAGGCAACGGGGAGGGATGTGGGTGTGAATCTGAAGTGTGAAGGAAGCCGGCGGATGTAGGTTTGATGCCCGAGGTGTTTTTATATAATCTGCCGTTGCTGGTTAGAATGGGGGTTGAGCAGTAAAAATGTACACGCTGCTCCGATGTGCACGTGACTTGTATGAAGATATGAGATTACGACTTCACACTTGCGGCTACCCCCACCTCAATGCCCCTGTATATGCACTTCTTTTCCACATCTAATTTATTGATCGTCTAATTATCTTATCTCTGGCATAGTTAACACAGCTTAATGTAAAGGGTAAGAAGACACTTCCAGGAGTAGGGATGTAAATCGGCGACCGTTTAACCGGTGCTTGACCGTCACAGCGTTACCCGGTCAAAGCTGTCGGTTAAAAAAGAGAAAAAGGGGAGAGGGGAGGTCTCTTAATAACGCTATTTTAAGCCCTATTTGCACGGTGTGACGAGCGGGTCTGTATCTAGCTGTGTGCGCCAATGTATTATAAACTCCGGGACGACTCTCACGCCGCACGAGCCACATATGCACGCGCGCACACACACGCACACACACACGCACACACACACACACACACACACACACACACACACACATACACACACTTACTTTCCCCCTCTCCATACGTAACATCCACACGCATCATCTCTCCCCTCTGTTACCGTCAAAGTTGCACACTGGCGCGAGTCAGAACTACATTGGAGCTTACATTTACACACACACACATATACATACACACACACATACACACAGTCAAACCACATGGAACATGTTTGTGTTTATGGTCCTCGGGATCAGCTCCACACACATCACTTGTATTTAAACTTTTGTGAAGACCTGTGAGACGCGGCTCGTCACTCGCTGCTCTGACCATGTGAACGAGCCGTCGTTTTTTGTTGCTAGAAAGTTTTGGTATTAACCCGCAGCACAGCAGAATGGGAAGATTAAAAAAGCAGTTCTCTGTGCGCAAAGGTGCCGAAGCTGTTGCGGGTTTGGGCGCCGCTGTCTCAACTCTGATCCAGTAGAACGCAGAGCTGCACTTATGAAAAGTACGCGGCTTGAAATGGCTGCTATTTCAAAGAACGTGGACTATTTTAAACTACGTGGTTAACCGGTTTCAACCGGTTAATGAGGCTCGGTGGTCGGTCATGAAAATTCATAGTTTTTTACATTCCTATCCAGGAGGTTACCTCATATGAATTATGAACCTGCTTGTATGATTGCTCGGGTAGATCAGGTGAATTTCATTGTAACATGACGTTGGTGAATGCTCTCTTGTGTCTCTTTGCGCTCTTACTCCATAATGAATGTGCTCAAGAGGAGTGTGATCTGATGCAGTAGATAATATAGCCTACATTAGTGCAGGGTTTAATTGGAGCGCTGAAGAAAGGCTGCACTAATTGGCCAAACAATTAGTGAAACTTGAAGTGTGAATTTGAAGATGTGGTTGTCAAGGGAGCCGGTCTCAGTATGTTCATTTAGCATTTGTAAATACTGTAGTTTACAGATTACTTCAAAAGCAAGTTTGTGTTTAGCAACCGTAAATAAGAGTCTATAAATGTCCCTTCAAAATATATACAGTTTTTTATTTTTTTTTGTCTTTAGTCTTTTTTACAAGATTTACTTCCAGTAAGACATTAATGTGACTGAATATGATCAAAACATAGGTTACCAGTGTCCTGCCTGCAAGTTAGGGCACGGTCACATAGGTTTTACAAACGAACGAGGCCAAATGGCCCGGATTGTCGTCACAGGGGTGTGAAGCATGACCCGCGGTCACAAGAGCTTCTTCTCGCAACCGTTCCAGAGCAACTGTGCTGTAGTACAACGCTCGGTCCAGCTGGTGGCGCTAATACTAACTTCAGCAACGACCTTGTTGTCCGAGTTAAGTTTCTGTTTCTCTTCCTGTTTACATTCTGTTACTGTAGCTGGCAACTCGAGTACGGATCGCGTTGTTTAGGGAAAGACACATCTCACACTTGTTCACATTGCTCTGATGCAAAGTGTGTACATGTGTGTGTGCGCCGCAGACACTGAAGCGTGCCTCTTAAGTTACGAGCATAAGAGCGCAGAGAAATGAATGAATGAGAATGAAAGAATGAAAAGTGTCGCGTACGATCAGAGCGACCAGAGCCAGGCAGGATTCAAGTGTGTGTTGGTGTGTTCTGGCGATTAAAAAAAGACTGATTCTTGAATGTCTGAAGTCTTATTGCAATAGCACCACACTGAGAGCGGGTTAGGGTTAGGGTTAGGGTTAGGGTTAGGGTTAGGGTCAGAACAGAGGGAGTTATTCCTGTAGAAAACGCTTCCCTTTGGCCCTGCAGCGACACACCCTCCTGCGCCCCTCGACCACGGTCCGGGGGCTTATATGAACTGTTTAACACAAGTGGAGAATGCGAAAGTGCAGTGAGAGACGTGTGTGAAAATGCTCGTCACAACGGAAGACTTAATGTGACGTACAATATCAGTTCCCCACCACACCTGATCCCCCACTCCCCGCCACACTGACCCCCCCTCATCTGGGCTTTACAAGCGTGCCCTGGCCCAAGTATCCAACGCGCCGTGTCGTGTAGAGTGGTGTAGTGCCGGTGCTGTGGAAAAGCAGCACAAACGTACATGGGCACAGTTGCAGCAATCAAGCCGAAGCTCACATGCCACGGTCACATGGCACCTAAAGCCCGGATATTAAGCACACAGGTGCTCCTCCAGGCCTTATTTCTGCAGCATGGACCAAACAAACTGGCTTTCACCATAAAAACTGGCAACCCAAAAGAGACTCATGTGATGCCATTTCTGCTTTCTGTTTGAACACTCAACCAAGTGAACATGATAATATAAATGATGTGGCCATTATTTTCATCAGCAAAAAATTTGACATTTGTTCATGAAGACCTTGTGTCTGCAGACACAGATAAGTTTGAAAATAAAACGAATATTGTCCCTTTGATGGTCCCTTTGTTTGCCAAATGATTTAATTGAGCTTTTTTTAAATTATTAAGTGTGCCAAGCATTGCCAGGTTGGATGAAAAAAAAATCCCTTCCTCAAAAAACGCTGCTGCATTTCCGTGGAAAATGGAAATACAGCAGATTTGATAATGATGGAACTCAATAAATCTAAATTAATGGTGGTAAAAAATGGTAAAAAATTAAACATTGATTTGAATGATAAATTCTGGAGAATTATGACAGGACTAATTCAACCAAATGTGTCCAGAATGATGATTTAATTACTCACTTATGTCATGAGCAATGAACAAGGTCTAATTTACTTTAGTTGTAAATTACGTCACCTGAGCTTGTAGCCGTGTAACACACACACACGCACACAGAGACATGCACACGTACCCACACAGGCTGGTTGCTACGGACACTCATCCCATCCGCAGTGCTGTATTGTGTCTGCAGCTTCTTTGAGACGCCATGTCGCCTCCAGCTCTTATTTAACTGCTCTAAATTGCTGTCATTGTCAGAGCTCTATCTTTACCATAAATTACACCCCAGGGATTTTTCACATGCAGAATAAATCGCTAACACTCACCACTGGAGGATGAGAAATGATGTGCAAAGCCTACACATATCTTTCAAATGAGAAATATTCCTACAAAATGAGCCATCAAGTTTGTTTGACATAAACACTTACTTGGTTTACGGATACGCGACCAAATGTTAAATAAAATCCTTAAGTTTTTCCATGATAAGCACACTCTTATCTGTTTCCTTCGCCGTCTCCACTTTTAAATTAAATTCTGGACATATTCAAGACGAGACGTACGTTTTCACAGACGAAGCAATTCTTCACTGTGGATTTTAATGTCAGAAATATAAATGTTAGCGTAAGTAAATCCTGATCCCAAGGAGTTAGGACACAGAAGGACTGAAATGAAAAACTGAGAAACCTGAAAGGGGATTCAGCCTATTTTATATAGAGGTGAGCAATATAAAGAAAAAAGTCAGCATTTATTTGAAGAAATGCCATGTTGTTATTGTCTGTGTTGCATATAATCAAAAGTATAAACTCAATACATTTGCAATTCTGGCATTTGTGTGCTTAGTTTGACAGTCAATGCCCATTTGGCAAGTTAGAATTACACAAAAAATGTATGGAATAATGATATGAGAAATATGGTGTAATTACTGTATTACAGGTTGATGTCCCCTAGATGGAGGGGTTCCATTTTAGAACAGCATTGGCTGTATATTTTTTTCCTTCCATATTTTATTCCTTTTTAGCCACAAACTGCCACTTTAAAAACTGATCTGAAACTACTTGTATAATATTTTCCAGAGGTTCTGTTGGGATTCTGTTGGGACCCTACGGGAGAGTTGGGTGTCGGTTGCCACCTCCCGTTTAAATGTAGACTGCGTTACTGGGGGGTGAAAACGTAAGCCTTAAGATCCAGCCTCCAGAGTGGGACAGCTCAGATACGCTGCTCAGCGGGGCGCTCATTCCCACTCGCATGAAGAAAAAGGTGTGAATTCCCTACCTGATCTGACCCCCACCTCCCCACTGCTCCCCGTACGTATATTTGGACATCCGCAGAAGCCTACGTGTGCTTCAAGCGCTACACGGAGGAGGATTCTATTCCTTCATTCGTCCAAGCGAAAACACGCAAAGCTGTAGTTTCAATTTCCATTTTTGCAGTTACTGTTAAAGGCAGAATGATGTGCATTCTTTCACGGAGGCCTGAGGAGGATGTTGTGGAGTAAGTGAGTATACTGCTGGGGGGGCTGGGGCTCGCGTGTGTTGTGTTGTAAAGTTCCTTTGACTACTACTGGCCAGGCCCTAGAACTACATTGTTTTCAGCGCCTCCATCTAAACGGCGCCTACAAAAAGTTAGCTTCTTGTGAAGGGTGATATTTTACACATGTGCTCTTTAAAAACATATACAGTTTATCCCGGTAGAGCTGCAATGCATACCAGCTCCACATTCCTTATTGTAATAAGTGTTGGGTTATAAACACATAACAATATGTGGTGAAAATATAATCTGCTGCATGTGCAAATGTTGTTCTTTCTCTGTTTGCGTTGACTTGACAGTCGCTGCACTGATACACCCTCATTGTAGGCTTGTAGAGTATACTGCACAGAACCAGAGAACATCTGGATCTAAACGGCTATATTGAATTCTCTGACTGTTATCAATCTTCACCAAAGAATTTTCATTAGTTAATCTTATAACCAGTAACTAATAATGAACCATTTCAGTTTTTTATCCAGGACTTATTACTTATTTTGATGCAGACCAAACAGACTTCAAAGCACTACTGCACTTATTTCTGCTTCTTCCTGTAATATTCCTTAACAGGAGCTGCAGAAATGGAAACTACAGCTTTGGTTTTGTTTGGATGAATGAAGGAGTAGAATTCTCCTCCGAGTAGCGTTCGACGTGCTTGTAGCAGTCGACTCGCCACCATTGTTTGTTTGTGCTCTGCTACCGCACGTCCAAATGTACAGGGAAGTAGGGGCTGAAACACTGTCTGCTAATCCGATACCCAACTCGTTTTACTGTCGCAGCGTCCTCGTGTAAACTGTCTTTTTTCTTGAAGCAGTGAGACATCTGTGTCTGTATTGACAGCTCCTCTCCGCTGACCGCAGACGCCATTGCACAGAAAACTCTGTTGAAGTTTTAATAAGGATGACCTTTCATTCGCACATAGAAACCTGCTGAGACCTTTATGCCAAACTTCTTCTCTTTTCTCCCCTCTTCTCTCTGTTAGTATGGACGGAGCCGACCTGTGTTTTGAGATCGTGAAGCGGGCAGATGCTGGCTTTGTTTACAGTGAAGCAGTGGCAAGGTAAGATATGCTTTTTATTATTTTATTTACTTTTTATAACACAAGGAGAAAATAAAAGCTAGGGGGCTGGGTTTGTATATTATACTAATACATGTAAAAAGTTCATTATGTCTTTCATACAGTATCTAAGGCCTAGAAGGTTCTTCTAATAGGACAAAAGTGTAATTAAGCTGGTACTGCTTACTTTTTAGAAAAATAACCTTCCAAGCCTCTGTTAAATGCTATGTAACGATCTGAGTGGGTCCATCATTTAAAGTAAAATTTGAATCATCCAAATCAACGAAGCTATACTAAGTATACACATATCACGTCTTTTCTCAGTCACTACATGAGGCAGATCCTGGAAGCTCTCCGCTATTGCCACGACAACAACATCATCCACCGAGATGTCAAGGTAATTGTCTTTTATTCCAAATTTATTTTCACTACAAAAGCTTTTCTTGTTCAGTGTTTGAAAGACATTGTGCGTGGCTTCCCCGCTGTGCTCGTGACGATCCAAGTAGAGCTTTGGGGTTGACAAGTCCCAGTTGAAAATCACGTGTAAATATTAAAAATTAATAGGTTTATTCAAACTCCTGGGACTGCCAATCACTGTTGTCGTGAAACGCCAGTGGAAAATGTTGGGAAAACGGTGCTGGTGTTTTGAAGAAGTGAAGCTCTTTAGTAGTTTAGCTGAAAACAGTTTGCGGTGGTGCATTGCATAGTTTTCTATTTCTGTTCTGTCAGTGATCCGGCTGGTTCCTTCTCTCTTGGGTGGTGCTGCTCAAATGTACCCTCAAAAACCACACTGAGATATTTCTGCACATTATTGTAAGGGTAGTGCAGAACTGCAGTGCATTCCCGTTGCCAAGACAAAGACGTCAACATCCAAGTCAATAGTTTTCATTATATTTGTGTGTTAGCTCACACACAGAACACAGGTGTTTAGGTGGTTTGTGTGAATGCATGTTGTTCAATAATCATAGTGAAATGATATTTTATAGTATTCAATATTAAAGGTGCAGTCCTCAACTGTCCTGGTGGAGTGCCTGCTTTGATAGATACAGTGCCTTGCGAAAGTATTCGGCCCCCTTGAACCTTTCAACATTTTGCCACATTTCAGGCTTCAAACATAAAGATATACAATTTAAATTTTTTGTCATGAATCAACAACAAGTGGGACACAATCGTGAAGTGGAACGAAATTTATTGGATAATTTAAACTTAATTTAAAAGATTTCCCAAGCTTTAAACATCTCAAGGAGCACTGTCCAAGCAATTATATTGAAATGGAAGGAGTATCAGACCACTGCAAATCTACCAAGACCCGGCCGTCCCTCCAAACTTTCATCTCAAACAAGGAGAAGACTGATCAGAGATGCACACAAGAGGCCCATGATCACTCTGGATGAACTGCAGATAACTACAGCTGAGGTGGGAGAGTCTGTCCATAGGACAACAATCAGTCGTGCACTGCACAAATGGAAGAGTGGCAAGAAGAAAGCCATTTCTCAAAGATATCCATAAAAAGTCTCGTTTAAAGTTTGCCACAAGCCACCTGGGAGACACACCAAACATGTGGAAGAAGGTGCTCTGGTCAGATCAAAATCGAACTTTTTGGCCACAATGCAAAACGATAGGTTTGGCGTAGAAGCAACACAGCTCATCACCCTGAACACACCATCCCCACTGTCAAACATGGTGGTGGCAGCATCATGGTTTGGGCCTGCTTTTCTTCAGCAGGGACAGGGAAGATGGCTAAAATTTGGGAAGATGGATGGAGCCAAATACAGGACCATTCTGGAAGAAAACCTGTTGGAGTCTGCAAAAGACCTGAGACTGGGACGGAGATTTATCTTCCAACAGGACAATGATCCAAAACATAAAGCCAAATCTACAATGGAATGGTTCACAAATAGACGTATCCAGGTGTTAGAATGGCCAAGTCAAAGTCCAGACCTGAATCCAATCGAGAATCTGTGGAAAGAGCTGAAGACTGCTGTTCACAAATGCTCTCCATCCAACCTCACTGAGCTCGAGCTGTTTAGCAAGGAAGAATGGGCAAGAATTCCAGTCTCTTGATGTGCAAAACTGATAGAGACATACCCCAAGCGACTTGCAGCTGTAATTGCAGCAAAAGGTGGCGCTACAAAGTATTAGCGCAAGGGGGCCGAATAATATTGCACGCCCCACTTTTCAGTTCAGTTGTTAAAAAAGTTCAAATTATCCAATAAATTTTGTTCCGCTTCACGATTGCGTCCCACTTGTTGATTCTTGACAAAAAAATACATTTTTATATCTTTATGTTTGAAGCCTGAAATGTGGCAAAATGTTGAAAAGTTCACGGGGGCCAAATACTTTCGCAAGGCACTGTAGATAGATACTTTATTTGATCCCTGTAGGAGAAATTCTGGTGTCCAGTAGCAGCAAAAATTAAAAAATCAAAAAATCTAACAATAATAATAATCAGCAACAGCCCTTCAGATCACAGCAGCAGAGGTGGAGTAGCCTCTGGGTGGAGCAGGGCGGGTCAAAACAGCAGAGGTGGAGTAGCCGCTGGGTGGAGCAGGACAGGTCACAAGGTGGAGTAGCCGTTTAGTTCAGACCATTTTCTCTACTCTAGTCCAAAGTAAAATGCTAAATGCTTCATTAGCATTTTTTGAAAAGTTAGCATTCCTCAAGTGGATTTTCACCTGATCCGCTTGGTTCGGACCATGAATCCTCTCTGCTCCGGTCTGGACCAGTGCAAAACCTTGAACACCGTACGGCAGCAACATCTCAGGCAGAAACAAGTAATAAAAATAAAAATTGTAAAGCACAAAACAGTAACTGTTTCAGAGCTACTTAGGACTTGCAGCCGCTTTCCAGCGCATTCAAAAGTGTGCACATGTTTATCTAAATGTTTTCCCTGGATATTTAGAGTTTGTCATCACTTTCTTTTTTACTTTGGAATGTCAGAATGTGCAATATAGAACCACATGTGTCCACTGTCGCTTCGTCCATACCCTCATGTTGCATCTACATGTACAGATGTATACATACAACTATATATTTCCTGTATGAGAATACAGTATACTTGCTTCTTTATTAAGCTAAAGATGGAAAATGTATACCTACTACTTTTTCTATTCTAACGTCAGAGATTTTGCTCTTACTTTTTTTTTCAGTTTTTTAGTAGTAGTATGTACTGTAAGTGCAAGTGACTTCATTGAGTTACAAGTCATATCTGAGAAGAGGCTAGTCTTCTCACAGCTTTTTTAATCACTAAAATCATCCACAATTGACGAATGTACAGAAATTCTGAAAATTAGAATATCATTAAAATATTCCTTTTTTCTTTCTGCAATTCAATTCAACTTAATGTGAAACCAATATATGGTATAGACTCAGTTCATGCAAAGGCGCACATGCCAAGCCTTTGTTTATTATTTGTATTTCAAATATTGCTTACATAAAACACTTTGCACCCGTTTCCCTCTTTACCTTCTGTTTATTTCAACGACGCGCTCTGGCCTGCTGTGTTTGACAGTGATGTACTCCTGTTATGGATAAATCATGCTGTTTGTGCGCTTTTACCCCACGTTAGATTAAACTAACTCATAATAAGCACAGCGAGTCCGGCAAAGAAAACAACATTTTATGCAAACGAAGGCTCTGCAGAATCTCTTTACTTCTGTGTCACACTCTTAGCATTCACAAACAAGCTACAATTCCCCTGGCAGCCTCCCAGTTGTGAATTTAATGGTTTATATGTGACTTTCAGCGAGCCTGTTTCAGTACATTCTGTTTGCTTTGACTAGCAGTTTCCCAGACACTCGTAATGCATATTTTATAGTCTCGGTCAGCTCTGCTCTGTTTGTGGACTATTATCTCGGTCTGTAGTATACTCTGCTACTATATTATCAAAGGGTGTTGTTTTGTCTGCCGCACTGGATTAGTTCAAACCAAGCTTTGTATCTTTGTAGAAAGCCAAAGCCAGAGAAAGGATTCATTATTTCTCCTTTGAGACATATGCCCTCTCTGGGATTGTACACATTGTCCATAAGGGGGCAGTAAATCACTAATACATTCAATCCTTGTGTGCGGATTTAGAAATAAAATGTTTTATGAAAATAGCAGTTTCTATAATTTTTTTTTTTTTTTTTTTTTTACTGATGCAGATTTCCTGATGCAACTTTTCTGTTCACCATCATGAAGAGAGTAATAGTGGTGTCTGGACCTCAGATGGAGACCCACTGTCTAATGTGTTAGTTTGTAGTATTATTATTATTATTATATTATCATTATACTTTCTAAGGCTCAAGGTTTTCTCACTTCTTTTTAAAGAAACTCTGTAGTCTCTCACCTCTGGCTTATCAGATGTACTTTTACCAGTAAACATAAAACCTGCGACTGCCGCCCTTGCGAATTAGGAGCGGTGAGTGTGAAAGTCAGTGAATCATTTGACACTTCTGTGAAATGGTGTATAAATCATCACGGAGCAGTAGTTATTATCTCGCTTCTCTATTCAACAAAAACCTAAAGATGTGAAGCAGCTGTATTTGTATTTGCAAGAACCTCTGCATCTTGCGCATAGACACTGGCGCGCACAGACACTGGCGCGCACAGACACTGGCGCGCACAGACACTGGCGTGCACAGACACTGGCGCGCACAGACACTGGCGCGCACAGACACTGGCGCGCACAGACACTGGCGCGCACAGACACTGGCGCGCACAGACACTGGTGAATAGTATGTCTGGAGTTTAGGTTCAAAAAGTGGACACAAAAGCCCACAGTCTGACATGCAAGTCCAGTATGATCACTTACATTGGTTTCTCTCCGTATCACTTTCAACTTCGCATTTTAGATAATGTGTGTATTGAAACTACTGTAATAGTGTATGTATAAATAAACGTGAGGAATGATGGGAAAGAAATTGGATTTCTGTCTATCATATGCTAGCTGTTTCCTATGGACTTCCTCTTTTACATTCTGTTGCGCTTTCATAAATCTAATACAGTACTGACTGAAGAAGTAAAAGGAAGTTACAGGACCCAAAGATAAACTCAAGCCTTTAGTGCAAGCGTGATTAGGCCTAGAGGAGTTTGATACATTATTAGGCAAGGCAAGTATATTTGTATAGCACAGTTCATACAAGGCAGCTCAAAGTTCTTTACAAAAGAACATACATTAAATATCAAGGCTATAAAATCATAAATAATCACAGCACATTGAAAATAATTTCTGATGCATTGTCTGTCTTGGAATTTCTTTAGTATTCTGACATGGTTATGGAGCTTTAAAGGTTTAGTACAGGTTTTATACAGTACAACACATCCTCATACTTTGTCAGAATCAGATTTTTCTGGTCATTGAACACAATTCTCAAATTTATTTTGGCCTTATGGTGCAAATACACAATGAAAAATTAT